TGAGTATATCAATGGATATCTCATTCCTTGATGTATCTTTTATGGATATCCTTGAAGTGATGATTTATTCATTTGGTATCTTTTCTTCGCTTGGTATTTCTTTGTCTTTTGGTCTCGGTTCTTGAAAGTCTTGAGCATGCATATTTACTTCTTGTAGTTTCTTTGGCATGTTTTCTTTCTTTGACCCAATATATAGGGGAACTCCACCAAGTCTCAACTTGGATGAGATGTGCATGAAATTCATTTTCATATCTATATGCACATATTTATGTGGAGTTTGTCCTATGTGTTGTTGGTTCTCTAACTCTTTGGTCCCAATGAGTTTGGGTACCATTTTGTTTGTGTTATTATTCTAGGAACAAGTGGAGATGCATTGAATGCTCGGCTCACTCACAAGGAAGGTGTTGTCACCATGTGCTTATTGGAGTCAAGCTAGGATGATCAATGAACTACTTTGTACCTTCAATTGGTATCTACTACATCCTTCCAATGTTATCTCGGTAACAAGTATCTTCATATACTTCATGCACACATTTCTTGCATCAACCTTGTGTAGGTTGTATCATGGCATGTTATCCATTCTTTCTTGTGATACTTGTTTCCTTTCTCAAAGCATCCCAACAATGATGTCTTGTTGCTAGTTGTGATGTCTTTGATGGGTGTGTGGTAGGAATTCATTTATATACTATAAGACCATATCTAGCCATGTGCTATGCTTCCAAGCAAATATCGTATTGGTATATGTATGACTTCCTTTTGGATATCTTGTTCCTTCGTGTTGTAACTATTTCGGGTGTACATCCTTCTTTGTAGATATATATCATCATGATCTCGTCTACCTAGAACCATATACACTTGAGAGAAATTACATCTCTAGATGATATCCTTTCTTTCACGTCCACCTTGTCTTTCTTATGTTATTTCTTTGGTGGCTCTGTGAAAGCTTTTGCCTTGAGTGCGTATCGTATCTCGTTGCATCTTGATGCACTCTTGTGTGGTGAAGATTATTTTCCTCATGCTTATCTCTACGAGGCTTTTTCCATCTTAATTGGTATCCCTCGTCTTGATGAGGCTTTCATCTTCTATCTTCACCACGGGTTGTCACAAGCATAGGTTCTCTATATGCTTATTAGTAAGCTTGTGAACCCATTTGCTTGTTGTGTGTGGGAATGATAGGCCTTGCACTGTGTTGCCTCATTCTTTCAAGACTTTATTGATGCTTAATGCTCATCCGTACATTAGTCTTCTCAAGTGCATTGCCTTGACTCACACACATCATTTGGTTGAGCCCATTCTTAAGTTGACTCTTTCACTTATTGCTCAACCATGTGTTTGTTACATGTACTAGGCTTAGTTTCCTATATGCTCACTTGCACTTGTTGTAAGTTTCTATTGATTTTGGGGGAGCTATGATCCTATTTTGTGCACTTTGTTTCCAAATTTAAATATTCGTATGTGTGCACAAATCATGGGGAGCCTCTCTAGTTTCTTTAGAACACTCCTTTGCTCATATCATAATATCTTTTATTCATGTGGCTCGTAGGATCATTGGCCTAGTTGGTTCAATTGATATCTTTTAATAGCTTGCTTCAATAGATATCTTTTGATTGCTTGATTGCTTGTTTCTCTCTTTGTTATGTCTTTATGGCATACCTTCCTTTTGTAATCTTTGGGACTCAATATAGTTTGTCTTCCTCCAAGTATTTACCGTTGGATGTGTGTATTGCATTCCACTCTCTTGTTGAGAAATACACAATTTATGGAGGACCACAATCCATATTGGCCCTCTAAGCTTTTCGCCCATTTTGGCAATCGATGCCAATGGGGGAGAAGTTTCAGAGAGTTTTGTGGAGAAGCTTTGGTTTATGTTTCCTTAGCTTTTGCATCTCATTCGCATGCATTATTGGTTGTTGCAGTGCATGGTGATGCATAATTCCTTGTATAAACTCTCTTGAAAGTGATTGTCATCAATTACCAAAATGGGGGAGATTGAAAGAACATGCGGTGCCCCCATGTTTGGTTTTGATAATTGATGACAATCTCTATGGACTAATGGTTGCCTTGAGTTATATTTGAAGGTTTTGTCCATAGGCTTTTCTTGGAGTACATGTGTTGGTTTCAAGGAGAGTTTGTGTTGACCAAGGTGCTATTAAGGAATTATCCAAAGCTTGGTCATGTGAGAGTTGAGCTTATTGCAAGCATGTCTTGAAGAAGAAGATTGTGTGATCATTCATGTTTACCTTCAAGACATCATCCAAATGATGAGAGTTGGAAAGATTCAAGGTTGATCAAGACTAAGTCAAGAGTGAATCAAGTTGATCAACTCACAAAGCGTAGAAAATGTACCGAGAGAGATCAAGTGATCCCATGATTTGGTAAGCATTGTCCATTGTGCTTTGTGTACTAACCCATGGTCTATATGAGAGTTCTACGTGGGGTTAGGTACGTGTTCATGGGCTTGTGTCAAGAGGAAGATATCACTCAACCCATGGAGAGGATGACATCAAGTGGTGATCGTCATCAAGATTGCCATGTGCAAGTTCAAGTGGATCATTGCAAAGAGATCAAGTGCTTGAAGCTTGCCATCCATTGTGGTGACAATGGACTTGTGAAGATGTGCCGAAGAGTGGCTCAGCCATAGTGGACTATGGGGGAGCAATCATCTAGTCTTCATCGAGCCAACGCAATCGAGAAAGGTGGTCCAACTTAAGGGAGTCAAGATCGTCATCATCTAGCTCAAGTGGACCATGTGCAAGGCAAAGGTTTGCCCTTGATAGGTTTTTTATTTTACCGGTCTCATGGTGGTAGTTTGGAGACCGGGTTATAGGATCATTTGCCGTACTATCAAGGGGGGCTCTCAAGTTGGTAGCTTGATCATATCGTTAGTAGAGAGCTTAAACCATTGCATCATTGCATCATCTTTCTTGGTTCTTGTTTGGTTTTCTTTGTGAGTCTTAGAGCTTATGGTCATCTTTATGACAAGTTTGAGTTCATCGAAAACGGAGTTCGCATGCATCTTCAATGATGTTTTCGGTGTTGGAGGTTTTACCGGTCTTTTCCGAGGAAGGGTTCTCACCATTTTGTTATGGGCCTTTTCTCATTTGCTTCTTATTGATATTTCTTTGAAGATTGTGTTAGCCCTTGTCGCTAGCTTTCCAACAAACTTGGTTTCATCGAATTCGGAGTCCGTTTGCAAAAGTTGTGGCAGTTTTGGTGTTCTGAAAAGGCTGCAGCGGTACTACCACGAATTGGAGCGGATGTAATTTTTTACTACCGCTCCAGAGCAGTACTACCGTGGCTCCTACAGCGGTAGTACCACTCCGGACCAAAAACTCGTCCCAAGTCTTGCGGTGGTAGGCCCGGATGTATTTTTTTAGCACCGCTCGCAAGCAGTAGTACCGCTACCATTTGCGGTAGTACCGTGAGGTCGAGCGGTAGTACCGTGAGGACGAGCGGTAGTACCGCTCCGGCGGTTCTTCTGGCCTTTTGCCTCCTCGCTGTTGTTTTTCAAAGGGGTACTTCCGCCCTAGCGGTAGTACCGCTCCTTGGAGCGATAGTACCGCTCTATGCGGGCTGTGAGCATAACGGTTGGATTTTTTCCCCACCTATAAAAGAGGGTCTTCTTCCCCAATGAACCTAATCCTTTTAGCTCGTGTTCTTCCCCCATTGTTGACCTTCTTCGAGCTTGCTAACTCTCAATCCCTCCAATGATTCTTGCTAGTTCTTGAGGGAAAAGAGAGAGGAGATCTAGATCCACGTTTCCACCTATCACTTTCTCCTCTGAGTGAGGGGAACCCCTTGGTTCTAGATCTTGAAGTTCTTCGTGTTCTTCTTTCGTCCTTCCTCTTATTTTCTTTCCTAGCATTAGTTGCTTTGGTGGGATTGGGAGAGAAGGACTTGGGCACTCCGTGTGCCCTTGCCATTGCATTTGGTGCATCGGTTTGAGTTCTCCACGGTGATACGTGGAAGTGAAGTTTGAGAAGGTTATTACTCTTGGGTGTTTGGGCACCCTAGAGCTTGTTCCTCTTGGGTGCCTTGGCGCCCTAGACGGTTGGTGGTGTTCGGAGCTCAATCATTGTGGTGTAAAGCTCCGAGCAAGCGTCGGGGTCTCCAATTAGGTTGTGGAAATCTCCCCGAGCAATTTGACGGGTACCGGTGACCGCCCCCAAGGGTTGCCAAAGTGTACGGGTTCGGTGACCGCCCCCAAGGGTTGCCTTTTGTACGGATTCAGTGACCGCCCTCAAGGGTCCCTTAGTGGAATCACGGCATCTTGCATTGTGCGAGGGCGTGAGGAGATTACGGTGGCCCTAGTGGCTTCTTGGGGAGCATTGTGCCTCCACACCGCTCCGAACGGAGATTAGCATCCGCAAGGGTGTGAACTTCGGGATACATCGTCGTCTCCGCGTGCATCGGTTATCTCTTACCCGAGCTCTTTACTTATGCACTTTACTTTGTGATAGCCATATTGTTTCTTATCATATATCTTGCTATCACCTAATAGTCTATCTTGCTTAGCATAAGTTGTTGGTGCATATAGGTGAATCTAGTTGTTGTAGGTTTTGTGCTTGAAAAATTAACCGCTAGATTTATTCCGTATTTGTTCAAGCCTAAACCGTAATTATTTTAAAACGCCTATTCACCCCCCTCTCTAGGTGACATCCACGATCTTTCAACATGGCTCATAAACTAGCATAGAGCCAACCCGAGAGGTACATGTCTACAACTAGTCAACAATAGTGTCCCTTCGTCCACGGTCCACAAGTTTGTTTCCACGTGTGAGTCTATTCAACTAGTCAACAATGGTGTCTCTTCTTCCACAGGCCGCATGTGGTTCAGCGAGAGCCGTCTTCAATCCTTCTGCTACTAGTCACTGAGTGAGACCCAACATGCATCCCGCTAGAACGCTAGATGCATTCTATATAGCACTAACAAGTTGAAGCACCGGTACTATCCAACACAAACAGAGAAACAGAGTATACATATGCAAGATGAGCAGGGCCATGGTATCACTAGTCATGCTTGCGGTGCTCGTGCTGCTGCCGACAACAATTGCCACGGTGACTACGGCTAGAAGAAACTGTCCCAACACTTGTGGTTCTGAAGTGATACCTTACCCGTTCGGGCTAGATCCTTCGTGCTCCTTGCCTGGTTTCAATCTCACCTGTGCTGTCGACAAGAACACCAACGAGAGTTCTCTCATGCTGGGGATGGGCAACTCAATCCTAAAGTTGTCTCAGGTTTATGTGGATGCCAACTTCAACCTCTACGTGAACACCATTCTCTCGTACTCGACGAAAATGATTCCCGGCGTCCGCGACTACTCCATCCACTGGGAAGCTCCAGCTAGGCCCTTTGCCATATCTGGCTCGTCAAACATGTCCTTGTTCGTTGTCGGCTGCGATGTCACGGCCTCGCTGTACATTGGAAACTCGGCCGTTCAGGTCGGGAACTGCACTGTCGTCTGCGCAGAAGCTCAAATCATGGAGAAGCTACCTGTGTGGACATGCGATGGCATGGTTGGCATCGGATGCTGTTCCATCGGCATACAGGTGAACCTAAGGGCGTTCACTCTCAACATCTCATGCATCATTGATTCTCCACGCCCCAAACAAGTGCAAGCTTTCATCGCCTACAATTGGAACCCAACATTCAGGCCGATTGATGCCTACTCTGGGTTATTAGAGCGATACGTTGCTCAACTGGATTGGTCTATTCCATACCAACCAAACTGTAAGCATGCCATAGAGGACAAGGACAACTATGCCTGCGTTAGTGACCACAACAAGTGTCAGGACTCGCCGATCGGTGGATACCTCTGCTACTGCCAGTCAGGCAGGGGGAATGCTTACATTGATGGCGGCTGCCCTAATCCTCCAGCCGCTCCAGGTCATCTCTCCATCTATCATCTACTTTTTTCGAAAAGAAGTGTGCCTCCCCAGCCTCTACGCAGCCAAAACACCTATCATCTACTATGTGACTGGGATAGCTCATATATGCGTTGTGTTTGGTCCGAGCTTAAAATGACTAGCTAGTAGTACAACTTTCACTCAGCTAGGTTAAATACCAAGTCCTAGTTTCCCCGTTTCCAAAGCCTAGTTAGCCTAATTCAAATGATTGTTTGACTACATAATGTGGTTTAAGAATCAGAAAACAGGGTTGACTGGGTGTATATATCAACGTATTTATATCCTTCACAAAGTTTCTTTGTAGCTCAGGCTACATGGAACCTCTTATCCTCAATCCTCCAGCCTTGCTTTGAGATCCGTACTATCCAACTAACTAACAACAACAAGATTTCTCTTTTTTGTTTCTTGAAAATGAAACAACATATGAACTTCAAACTTTGCAGACCGAACAAACATTAGAACATCAATGCGTGAAAAAACTTTCAGATTTTTTGGTCTGATATAAATATAAAAAATGAGATTTTCTTTGAATAAAAATATTATTTCAAGTATTTAAAATACATGAAAAAATCTGAAAGTTTTTTCCTATATTGTAGTTAGAATGTATTGTTGTTCTGCAAAATTTGAAGTTCATATGTTGTGTCGTTTGAGAGAAACAAAAAAGACAAATGTGTTTGCACGGATCTTGATGCATAAATGGATGGCAAAGATAAGGGGTACCGTGTAGCGTGAGCTATAGAAAACCACACTCTCTATATCCTTTCCTCAGTTAGTTTAGGGGTTAATGCAATCTTAGTTAGATGCGCTACCATTTTTGCGGAGTATATCTAAGTATAAAGTTATACTAAGTTAGCGACAAGTAATATGGATAGGAGGAAATACACTATTTTGTTTGAATGCATGTGATATATCATCATTAGATATTTATTAGTATTATTCTTTCCACCTTCAACAGTATATGACTCCCTTCAGCCAAGAACGAATTGTCCTACATCGTGCGGGAATATGAGCATCCCGTTCCCCTTCGGTATAGAGCTTGGCTGCTTTGCAAAGCCCCATCTCTACCTCGCATGTACACCAGGGACGACCATTCTTCTGGTCCTTAAAATGACTGCTCGAAAGCTCGTCACAGACATATCTATTGACGATGGTATCTTGCAAGTTCGCGAGGTATCAGGGCCAGGTGATTTCATGGCTGGTTCGAACACGGACTCCACGCTCTACGTATCATCTGGAAAATCAGGCGTGGTGAAGTGGGCTATTGATAACATGACATGCGAGCATGCTATGAACAAGAGCGACTACGGATGCGTCAGCACCCATAGCGGCTGCATTGATGTAACGGACGATACAACACTCAAACATGTAGGTTACCGGTGCAAGTGCTCTCCTGGTGAATAAATACCAAAATTTATGAAGATCGCTAACCACATAAACACTACTGTTGTGTTGAAGCTCATAATTTGTGGCATGGGTCAAACAAATGGATAGTTTTTGTTGTGAAAATCGCACATATCACTGTTGGAGAGATATTGCATACAAATTTCGTATTGCACAAAGATAATCAGAGATCTTACTGTGCTATTTACAGATACCAATGAGTGCCATCAGCCAGATAAATGCAGGGGTATCTGCCAGAATAGTTTCTGAAGCTATACATGTACCAGTTGTCCTCATGGAACAGATTTCAATAGCGCCACAGGAAAATGCAAGCCAACTATTATAATATTAGGTGAAAAAGTTAATAAGTTCATACGTATTATGGTTTCTGCTATATCTTGGAGATAAATAACTCACTTAAACGGGCCATCTATTGCAGGTGTTACTATTGGACTAACCAGTGGTGCAGGCATTCTGTTTCTTGCCGCGATTGTTGCTATTCTAACTCGGAGATGGAAGAGAAATGTTCAGAAACGTTTGAGAAAGAGGCATTTCCGTAAGAACAGAGGCATTCTGCTAGAACAGCTGATCTCTTCCGATCAAAGTGCCAGTGATGGCGGCACAAAGATATTCTCCCTGGAGGAGCTGCAAAAGGCAACCAATAATTTCGATCACACCCGTGTGGTTGGACGCGGTGGCCATGGCACTGTCTACAAGGGCATCCTGACCGACCAGCGAGTGGTGGCCATCAAGAAATCAACGCTTGCGGTGATCAGAGAGATCGACAAGTTCATCAGCGAGGTCTCCATCCTATCGCAGATCAACCACCGGAACGTGGTGAAGCTGCATGGATGTTGCCTAGAATCTGAGGTCCCTCTGCTTGTCTACGAGTTCGTCTCCAACGGCACGCTCTACGACCTCCTGCACCGCGAGCAGAACGGTAGCTTGTCGCCGTTGTCCTGGGAGGAGCGCCTGAGGGTCGCCACCGAGATTGCAGGCGCGCTCACGTACCTGCACTCCGCGGCTTCCGTGTCAGATCCTACACAGAGACGTCAAGTGCATGAACGTGCTCCTGACGGACAGCTACACCGCAAAGGTTTCAGACTTCGGCGCGTCGAGGCTGATCCCGGTCGACCAGACACACCTAGTCACTGCCGTTCAGGGCACGTTTGGGTACCTAGATCCGGAGTATTACCACACCGGTCAGCTCAACGAAAAGAGCGATGTTTATAGTTTCGGAGTGATACTCGTTGAGCTGCTGACGAGGAGGAAGCCGATCATTCAGAACGAGTATGGCGAGAAGCAGAACCTGTCCAACTACTTCTTGTGGGCTATGAGGGAGAGGCCCCTCGAGGAGACAGTGGACGCTCAGATCCTCGATGAAGCGAATGGGGAACGGGTTCTGTGCATGGCTCGGTTGGCGGAGGAGTGCCTATGTCTGACACGAGTGCAGAGGCCTACCATGAAGGATGTGGAGATGAGGCTGCAGCTCCTGGCGGGGCGCCGTGTTGTACCAAGGGCGGGGCCGCATGAAGGGGCACAACCTCGCCGTGAAGCTACGGGAGACGTTGGGCGTGGTTGTGTTGTTCCGGTGATTGGTGAGCATGGCTCACGCCAATTCAGCCAAGAGCAGGAGTTCGCGTCGTCTCTGCGTGTACCGCGGTAGTTTGTAGGCATGAAGCATATTGTTAGTATAGAATAAAATGCATATACAGTTGTGTGTATCCTAATTACCTTTTGCTCGTGCTTGCGAAGTCCAATTTTATAACGTGTATTTGAAATTTCAATTGAAATATGTAAAAGTGATTTCTTTTTGGACCAACCTGGACCCACCAATCAGCAGAACCAACGACATGCCTTTGTCTCCTCTGTTCCAAAACAGAGCGCAAAGGAGGACAACTTCCATTGAAGGAGACTAGAGCTAGTCTGGATGGTGCTGTTTTTCTGTTCCACCGTGCAATGAGAAACGTTTTGAGAAGTACTTTTGTTATGAGAAACATTTTTTCTCACAAAATATTTCAATCTCTAGACAATAAGATTTTTTTTTGAGTATCCACTTTAGCGTATTTTAGAGTATCCACTTTCACTTGTCTATGAACTGTACAGGCAACCCAGAAGTCCTTTACCGCAGACGCGGCTATTCGAATAGATGATGTTAACCCTGCAGGGGTGTACTTCTTCACACGCGCTCTCGCCACTTACCACCATGTACACGTCGTGTATCTCGGCAACCTTCAAGCGGAAGCCTGGCGAGGGAGTTGACCACGACCTGACTAACTAGGCAAGTCTCTAGTCCAGGTTTATCGCCTATTCGGGTTCCACCCGCAAGGAGATCCGGTCGGGGTGTCGCTCACGGCCCCAAACGATGTGTACAGGGTTCCCAAGCCCACCAAACGGGCGACGCTTGGTATACCCGGCCACGGTGCCTAGTCTGTCCCAAGCCCACCTATACCGGGTGCCACTTGGTAGACTACTAACACTACCTACAAACACCAGAAACTAGTTGCAATTCCTAGACAGAGATCGAGGCGATTAATAAGCCGAGAGGGGTCGAGTTACCGGAACCCAATGTGTGGTAGTAACTGTTCATGGATCATAAACACAGAACTCAGTTCCTGAGGACGGTTTCAATGAGACAACCCACCATGTACTCCTACATGGCCTCTCACCGCTACCGTTATCAAATCGTGTTCACACACTTAGCTCTCAACAGTAGGACATGTTCACCACATTCCAATTCATTCCCGATGAATCAGACCTGACTCAACTCTAAGCAGTAGCATGCATGACAAACAAGCATGAATGAGTAGGCACATCAGGGCTCAAACAACTCCTACTCATGCTAGTGGGTTTCATCTATTTACTGTGGCAATGACAGGTCATGCAGAGGAAAGGGGTTCAACTACCGCAACATGTAATAGTTGAAACGTTGTTGTCCTAATGCTGTAAAAGAGAGCAGGAGCGAGAGAGTGGGATTGTATCGGAATGAACAAGGGGGTTTTGCTTGCCTGACACTTCCGAAGATAATATAGCTCTTCATCGGTGTCATCGAACTCCTCGTCGAAACACGTCTACTGAGAGGGAACAACCACCGGCAAACAAGGAAGAACACAATCAATGCAATGCACATCCAAATGAATGACATGTCATATTAAGGTACTGGATTGACCTAGTGCAACAGTTAATCATATTCATTGAAGTGGAACTCAAACATATATCAAATTCCAACTCCAAAACTAATTACCATTTATTCCATAATCATGAATTGTCCTATTCAGTGAGGTTAACTTGTTCAAACATGCATGAAAAAGGTACATATGGATAGATTGGATTTTTCTGATAATTTTTCATATATAAATTATTTCATTTGGAGTTACGGTTGAATTTCTATGATTTTTCAAAGTTTGCAACATTTTCTGAAATAAATAAATCATTTAAGATTTATTTCAATTCCAAAAAAGTGATTACTGCATCAGCATGGCATCACTAGGTCAACTACGCTGATTCAGGTCAAACCTGACCATTGGGTCCCGCATGTCGGTGTAACAGGGTCAGCAGCAGAGGCTGACCAGTGGGGCCAGGTCAACGCTGAGGTGGCAAGGTCAAACTGACCAGTGGGCCAAGGGCATTAGCTTAATCTAAGCAAGGGGGTAAACCTGTGATTAATTAAGGGTGTGGGGCCCATTTGTCAGTGACAGAGGAGGTTAGTTAGCCCCGTCATTAGTACTAATGACGGTGGCACGTCGGCTGCCGCCGGGGTTGGTCGCCGGCGAGCACGCAGCACGGCGGAGGGCTTTGGGTTCGCGCTATAGGGCACGGACCGACGAGCGGTTTGCGGCAAGGGGTTGCTGGCGCTTGCGCGCATCCATTGGTAGTATCAGGAGGGTGAGTGGTGGCCTGAGTCGAGCGCAGCGTTGACTTCGGCGGCAGACAGAGTTCGGGATAGCGCGGGCGCGGGGCTGCAGCTCGCGTTCGATCGAACGGAGAGCACATGCGGTAGCTATGGGGCAGCAGGAGCTCGACCACGTGCTCAGACATGACGTTGCTCCACCATAACGACGGCGACGACAAACGCGACGGCCAGAGCTTGCGGGCAGGACGGCGAGGTCAGATAGCGGACGAGCGCGACCAGGGGAGTAGGGTGAAACGACGACGGAGCTCACTGGGGTCGATGCGCAGATCAGTGGGCTCGGGGGCGACCGGAGCGAGGCGAATCGACGAACGGTGTCCTGTGGGTACCGAGGTTGAAGACGACCAGATGGTGGCGATGTAGGGCCTCCGGCGAAGTGTGGCTCGGTGGGGAGGGCGAGGGCGTCGCAGCGGAAGTCTTGGATAGCACGGGGAGGCGAGGGGAGAACGGTGGACGCAGTGGCAGTGAATGGCGGCGACGGGCTCGCTCGGGTGGCTGCG